TTTTTTTTTTTTTTTTTTTTCTTTCGGTACACGGGCCTCTCACTGTTGCGGCCTCTCCCGTTGCGGAGCAACAGGCTCCAGACGCGCAGGCTCAGCCGCCATGGCTCACGGGCCCAGCCGCTCCGCGCGGCCTGTGGGATCTTCCCAGACCGGGGCACGAACCCGTGTCCCCTGCATCAGCAGGCGGACTCTCAACCACTGCGCCACCAGGGAAGCCCTGTGGTGAAGTCTTTTATCTTGAATAATGTATAACGTTTCCCCAAATGTGTTTCATGGTGTGTGTGGTTCTGCAGGTCATTGTGCGTCTAATGCAAACAACTGGGCACAGTTTCTTTCTCACATAAGAGTCCAATAGCCTGGCATTCCACAAAACTCACTGTGGGAGATGCTTACCTAATAAACAGGACAGAGCCTAGCAGGGTATCCTGCTGTCCCCACTGATCCCTAAAATACAACTGGTTCAGAAAGTTTGCTTGGTGAAGAAAAGAACTTTAGGGGCACCTGAAATGGTCTAAGGGTGACTCTAATGGTTTCTACCTTCTTGCTTCCCCTTTTAATTTGTCTCCATCAAGTTCAGTGTGTTTCAAACTGGTTTGAGACTGTTAATGAATTGTGAAATGTCCTGACATTTTTATTTCCTAAACTACTGTGAGATAATTGTACATTCACTGCAGTTGTAAGAAATAGTACAGAAATTCTGTAGTACAATATCACAGCCAGGAAGTTGACACTGACACAATCCCAGCCTTGCTCAGATTTCACCAGTTTTGCATACACTCATTGGTGTGTTGTGTGTGTGTGTGTGTGTGTGTGTGTGTGATTTGTGTCTTCTGTGCATTTTTTTTCACGTGTGACTTCATCAACGTTTTTTAAGAATAGAATAGTATATATATATACTAATCAGAATGCGTCACTCCTATTAAGAGTAAGTACTGATTTAGTTATAGACATGTTGACTAGACTGTAAAAATGTCTTTTTACTGTGAGTCATGATCAGATTTAAAAGCAGCAGGTCATTTAGTCATCCTGGCTTCGTTTTACTCAGGATCAGTTACGTTCCCATCCCCTCAACAAATATGTGCCCCGGAGAGTGCTGTCCCCTTGGTGGAGCTGACCATGACTTTCAGTGGAGAGAGTTCACCACATAGAGTCTTCCCAGTGTTTTCCTGGGATGTGGCGCCTCATCATCTACTTCTGGTGGATGGAAAACTGGGCTAAATTAGATCTGTTGAGAGACAGTAACATAGATATGTTCTGTACCCCAGGAGCTATTGAAGGGGTTTGCAAGGGTAATTTTGGCCAGAAGTTGTTTTTGCTCTCCTGCTGACTTTAGAACATAACTCCTTAGTAAGTTGGAACTCAACTGTATTTTGCCAATAATGGGGATCAGACTTCTGAAAAGTGCTGTAAATGGCAAAACCAGAGTTGCTTTGAAAATATAGAGTTAGGAGAAAAAGAGGCATTAAATATTTTTTAATAAACCCTAAGGAATTGTCTTAATTCCAAGACTTTGTCAGCATTAAAACCCATGCTGGTGAAAACCCCTCTCCAGACATGTTCCTTTGTCTTCATCTGTTTTCAGGGCACACTTAACTCTTTCTCAAGGACCCTCCGTCCCCTTTGTGGACAAAGGTGCACTGTAACTTCAGCCAAAGCCCACAGAATTGTAGGAGGAGCTGAGGGTCAGCATGCTGAGAGGATGTGGGTGACGAAAGACGGGATCTAGTCTCAATTGCTGCTAATTTGCTGCCTTACCCTAAAGGTCCATACCTGGGAGGTATAGATGAGCTAGGATATAAGCTGGAGAGGTGGAAGCAGTGTTTAAGACAGACCTGGGTTTGAATCCATGTTCCACCACTTAATAGCTATGTGACTGGGTAAATTTCTTAATCTGAGCCCCGATGGCCTCATCTTTGGACATGACACCACCTATTTCACAGGGCTCTTAAAAAGGAATAGAGAACAGATAATAAGTGCCTATCACACTGTAGGCATTTATAATGCCTATAATTATCATTGATAACACCGTCTAATAAATCTTAAGTTACATTCTTGTACTCTTAAGAGGATCAGAGTGGCAGGACTGCTGAGAAGCCAAGTCCAGCATAAACCAAGGTCACTCTGCCTTGGGGTTTTTCAGGTCCTCACCAAAAATGGTGATATTTTTCACTGTTTGGTGGCCCTCAAACTGCAGCGTGGGGTGAGAAGGGTGTTAGTGGGAATCTCCAAGTCTGGATAAAGTGTGACCTGGGCAAGCTAAGAACCAGGAGCTTGATGGAAAAGCAAATAAGACTATAACAGGAAGTGGAGGTGTGGAACCAGAGGACATGAAGTTGAAGCCAGGAAGAGGAAGTAATGGCAGCTGCTGCGTCAGCCCTTCTACCTAGAGCTGATACTTGACAGTTACCATTTCAATTCCCTTCAGTCTCATTCGAAGTAGGCCTGAGGGACCCTTGTCCCAGCAGCTACAGAGACCTAAGACCAAAGCCTGGGTGGGCTCTGGGGGCTATTTTGAATTCAGGCAATGCTTCCCCCTTCTGGGGATTGCTAAAAGCACTGCAATTTGTGTGACTCCGAGGGAGACTTGAAGAATCTGTCGTTTATCCCTGACAGGAAGGACCAGAGTTTCCTCTGCCCATATAGTTGACTTTAAAGTCTTCCTGAAGCCAGGATCCTGGCCAGACTTGGTCACAGGACTGTCCCCAGAGCCCTTCAGAGGTTCCCAAGGGCTCATCTGCTGGAGCCTATGGGGAGCCACCCGGTGCCAGACACCCAGGGCCGACAGAAAAATTTCCAGGAGAATGGGGTGCACGAAGGAGACCCAGGTGGATCTCCTGCCACAGTCCAGATTGGACACCATGATACAGGTTCTACCTGAGAGGAGAACTCTAGGGCCCACAGATCCGCTGGATGGAGCATCTGAAAACTGCCTGCACCAGAGCCCTCTTGTGGGCGAAGGAGAGAAGGCTGGGGATAAGTCAGTCCCAGGGACTGATGGAACAGAGAGGAACTAGATGATCCAGCAAGGAGGAAACAGGGCTGAGCTGAGGACAGAACCCAGCCTCCCCCGGCTCTGGCTCCCAGGCTTGTTCTCCTTTACACGCCATCCCACACAGTGTTCAGACAGAGTAGTGAAGAAGAAACAGACATCTTGGATCCTGCAGGGAGGAGGCCAGGGCTGGGAACAGAAGGTTGTCTGTTTATTCCTGGCAATCCAATATGAGAGGCCCCACTCCCACTTCTGTCAAGGCCCCAGGGTGAACTCTCCCAGAGCCTCTGACTTCTGCACCACCAGATAGCATGGGGCTGAGAGCCGTCCACTGGAATGCAGCATCCTCCCACCCACCAGCTCCCTTGAGGATGGGTTTGAGGCTGGGTGCTTTCCTCTTCCCAGTTTTTGTCCCAACAGAGGCCCTTCTCTCCAGGACTCCTGACTGCTGTGCAGGGTTGGCAGAGCTAGACCTCTCAGTCCTCCAGCCCTTCAGGCCCAGGTCTCACCGAGAGAGCACAGAAAACCCCTTGCTCCGTCTACAAGGAGCTTTTTCCTAATGTCTAAACTCCAGCTTTCTTGCTGCAGTTTTAGCCTGTTCCCTCCCACTTCAGGCCTCAAGAGAGTGTAACTGCTTCTCTCCCTCACCCCAAAGCCTCACTTGACACAAGCTGGAAATTGGGGCTTCCTAGCCTTGAACTTGCCCTTCCTCTCACTCTACCTAGTTTCTTGTGTTTCCCTGTGGAGTGAAAGTGCCATTCCCCTCTTGCTTTTCACAGGCTCTCTATCAGCCTTTCTCAATGGAATTCTCAGAGGGGACAGGTGGCTGGAGGGAAGGGATGTGCAGAGAAGGCCAGAAATCCCTTTCATTGTGTGCTTCTGTGCCGAGCACTGACCCAAGTCCTTATCACACGCTTTCTTTTTTTTTGGCTGCACCAGGCAGCCTTCAGGATCCCAACGGCGAGGGATCCAACCTGTGCCCCCTGCAGTGGAAGCGCAGAGTCTTAACCACTAGACTGCCAAAGTCCCCCACACATTTTCTCATATAGTCTCACAAGAGGTGAATACAATATGAGCCCCATTTTGCAAATGAGGAAATTAAAGTAAGAGAACTTTAATAATACACTCGTTTAAACAGCCAAAAAGATAGGATCCAAAAAGGATTCTGAGATTTAAACCCAGGCCTTCGGATTCCAGCACTGGCTCACGCCTCTTAGTCGTCGTCATGGAAGAGGGAGGAAGGGAATCACTGGTTGAAAACCCTCCCCCGTTAGGTGTCAGGTACTGGGATGTATGCAGTTACATATTATCCCATGGTATTCCCCACAACAACGGTGACAGGTGGTTTTCCTTGTTCCCATTTTACAGATGAGAAAATTGAGGCCCAGAGGTAGCTTGCCCCAAGTCACAACCCCAGAGCTATTTGTGCCTCATATCCCAGAACTTGACTCACAAAGTAGTTGAGAAAAGTGTGGAATGACCCCAGATTCTGGAAGGCAAGCCTGGCTTTATAAGCTGAAATTCCCTACCAGGTGATAGGAAGGGCGGGCAGTGAAGATTCTCATATTCCAAACATCCCCCCCACCACCACCATCAGACACACACCACTATGCGGACTGGCAGAATTACAGAGGTGAATGCGCTGTCAGCTGGCTTGGCCACTCCAGGGGTTTAAGGCTCATAAAATGTAAATATATGAGCTGGGCAGTGGAGAAGGTAGACTAAATCATTATTGTTCACTAGCTGGAATGCATTTCTCAGATTAGCTAAGCAGTAGCGGGCCAGAGGACTCCAAGCTGGGTGACCTGCCTTCTTGGTGGCAAGCTATATGGCCAGTGGCTGGAGAGGGGGCCACTGGTACAGGAGGGTAAGGAGGGGGCACTGGAGAAAGGGGAGGAAGGCCTCCCAGTACTGCAGCTCAGGGTGTGCCAGGTCCCACCCCCCAGAGGCGGGGCCAGGCTGATCCCCGCCAGCCTCAGCTCCATCCCTCCAGGAACCCAGGCGAGGGCAGAGCCAGGGAGAGCAGTGGAGAGCCGGGGCCCTGCTGTCCCCGCACAGTGGAGGTACCATGCCCTCACCGGTCAGGACACCAGACGTCGCCAGAAGCCTTGCAGCGCTGGCTGCGGCAACTCCCTGACACTCAGAGGAAAGCCCAGGCTGGGGGAAGAACACCTGTCCCTCACAGCCATGTGAGTAGCTACCCCCTCTCCCCCTTCCCCACCCGGCCCCCGGGGCCACACCTGGAGACCTCGACCCCAGATCTTGCAGAGGCCATTGCACGCAGCCCGAGCCACCAGAGCCTCCGGGTTGTGCAGGTCACACAGCCAGCACACCCATAAGACTGCTGGGAAGTCGCCCCGGCGGCTGACCCTGCCTTTATCGCCGGTCTGTTGGAGGTAGGGTGGGAGACTCATTCCAGCGAAGAGCTGGGAGCTCCAGCCCATGACTCCAGAGTCCAGGTTTGAAGTAACGGACTCTGAGGTCAACTGGGGTTTAATAAAGTTGACAGTGCAGGGATGAAGCGGAACAGAAACTGGAGGGCCGCTGGGGAGGCAAAGACGTTCCCAGCGGACGGCACTGGGGGAGGTTGAGGAAGAAGAAACAGAAGCTGAGGGTAAAGGGGTGCAGCAGCTTGGGGGGACCTGAGGGGAGCTGGGGATAGAAGTGGCAACATCTCCTGCGCTCAGGGTGGCCGTGGGGCCCTCTGATCCTCTGACCCGGGGGAGGGGGCAGGTAGGAATCCTTTCCCTCTTGACTTAAATCCTAGCAACAGCGGCTGCTCCCGCTGACAGAAGCAGGAGTTCCCACAGGGCCCAGGACCCCTCCCCTGTCCCCCATCCCTATGATGCGGCAGTGGGGACAGGGCATGGGAGGACTGGGACAGGTCAGAGCCACAGAGAGGCCAGGCCCTGCCCAGCGGCTCCTCCTCCCTCTCTGGGCTCGCTTCAGCCCTCTGCTGCCGGCATCTGCACATTCACTGCCAACCCTCCCCCTCCCAGCAACTCCTCCCCTCCTCCAGTTCCCAGGAAAGGCCCTGTGGCTAGAGTGGTAGGGACGCGTCAAGTTTATGGGCTGGAAGTCCTACCCGGAGGCTGCTCACTGAGGTGTAACTGGTGACAAGGCGGATGGAGGGGAGGTGCAAGGGACTGGGCAACCCCTTGCTGCCACCCATTGCCCTGGCCTCGTCACTAACTCAGTGAGCCCTGCCTCAGGGTGACTTCTGCGCCTACCTGCACCCCGAATCCTCAGCAACCTACCACCTCTTAATGCACGGGTGCCCATGAGCCTGCGAGCATCTGAAGACAAGGACCGCCCTCCTTCATTTAGCACCCACCCCGAGTCCCTTGTCCCGGCTCTGGCCCCAGCCCGAAGGAAGCCATCAACTGTTGGCTGGCCAGAGGACCACTACACACCAGCCAGACCCTATCCTATCCTGTCCGCTAATTTGTTAGAGGCCTCACCTGGTGGAGGCAGGGATGGTCAAAATGCTTTGGGGATGGGTGGGTCCACTTTTCAGCCTAAACAGAGGCATAAACACAGCTGCCCAGAGAGGGCCAGACAGATAACAGAAATGGGCCAAGGGGCTGGGTGGGGACTGTGGGAGCTGTCTGAAGGCAGCCACAACTCAACTCCAGCTGGTTGCTATCATACAGGCAGGACCTGATTTTTTTTTAAGCCCAAAATATGAATTTTTATGTAAATTTTAATTGGCAATTCATTGGGGGGAAAATGTGTATCAGCAAACAGGATATGGCCCACAGTCTGTTGGTCTGCAACCTCTGGATTAATGTGCAGCCTTGCCGAGCAGACAGTGACCTGCAGCCCCACCCTAACTCCGGTTGCCCCATCTTCCGTCTAGGCATGCCCGCTGCTGCTCCAGGCCTCCCCCGTCCCCAGGCCCAAGATGACACCCAACAGCACCAGGGAGATGCCCAGCCCCATTCCCGCAGGGGCCCTGGGGCTCTCCCTGGCCCTGGCAAGTCTCATCGTCGCTGCCAACCTGTTCCTGGCCCTGGGCATCGCCAGGGACCACCGCCTGCGCGGCCCACCCGCTGGCTGCTTCTTCCTGAGCCTGCTGCTGGCCGGGCTGCTCACCGGGCTGGCGCTGCCCATGCTGCCAGGCCTATGGAACCAGAGCCGCCGGGGCTACTGGTCCTGCCTCTTCCTCTACTTGGCTCCCAATTTCTCCTTCCTCTCCCTGCTTGCCAACCTCCTGCTGGTGCACGGGGAGCGCTACATGGCAGTGCTGCGGCCTCTGCGGACCCGCGGGAGCACCCGGATGGCCTTGCTCCTCACCTGGGCTGGCCCCCTGCTCTTTGCTAGCCTGCCTGCCCTGGGCTGGAACCACTGGGCCCCTGGGGCCAACTGCAGCTCCCAGGCTGTCTTCCCAGCCCCCTACCTCTACCTTGAAGTCTACGGGGTCCTGCTGCCCGCCGTGGGCACTGCCGCCCTTCTCTCGGTCCACGTGCTGGCCACCGCCCACCGTCAGCTGCAGGACATCCGCCGGCTGGAGCGGGCCGTGTGCCGCGGCGCGCCCTCGGCCCTGGCCCGCACCCTCACCTGGCGGCAGGCCAGGGCACAGGCTGGAGCCACGTTGCTCTTCGGGCTGTGCTGGGGGCCCTACGTGGCCACCCTGCTCCTCTCCGTCCTGGCCTATGAGCAGCGCCCGCCGCTGGGGCCCGGAACTCTGCTGTCCTTCATCTCCCTGGGCAGCGCCAGTGCGGCGGCCGTGCCCGTGGCCATGGGGCTGGGTGATCAGCGCTACACGGCCCCCTGGAGGGCGGCCGCCCAGAGGTGGCTCCAGGTGCTGCGGGGAAGACCCCAGGGCAGTCCTGGACCCAGCCCCGCCTACCACACCAGCAACCAAAGCAGCATGGACCTCGACTTGAACTAGGGGAAGGGCCTCTGCTCGTTCCTACTAGAAGCATTCGTCCATCTTGGCCACCAAGCCCATCTCCACTTATCCCCGCACCTCTGGATCAGAGACCCTGCCCCTATACGACCCCACTCTGACTGAATAAAGTTCCCCTGGCTCCCAGCTATGGTTATCTCATTCCACATCTTAGCAAGGGAGGGACAGGTGAGCAGCTGCGGAAAGAACCTAGAGGATCCAGGGAGATTCCAGTTCCAGACAGGCAGGCAGCTGTAGGTGAGGATGCTGCTGCCTGAGGGGGTGAGCTGAGGCACCTTGAGATCCGGCAGATGTGGCAGGGAGCCTCACCCTGACACGCCCCTCACTGGTTCCTCCTCATGTCCGGCCACCACGAAATCCACACAGACACGTCTCTGGGAAGTATATTTTATTTACATTTTTAAAATCTGTTAACTAATATCTCTTCCTCCTTTCCGCCCCCAGAGACTTGGGAAGGGAAAGAACGGGAACTTCGAAGACCTACTCCCCACATACAAATACACACCCCCATGGCTCACACCAGCAAAGGAAGTGAAAGAGAAAGAGGTCTGAACCTCCCTCTGAAGGGCCTGCCAGGTCTGGGCGAGGACTACGAGGGAGAGGGCGGGAAGGAGGGGCCCGAGGGGTGGGTCTCTTAAGAAAGGGACAGAGAGGGGGCAAGTCAGTTTGAAGTGGTTGGAAAGTGAGTCCGAGGCCCATCCCCTCCTCTTCCCTCCTACCCTACCGCCTCTGCTGATGGGGGTCTCTCTGTGCCCCCTCCACACCAGACACAAAGCAGAGGCTGCAGCCATTAGCGGTCAGGCCTCTGGACACAAAATACTTTTGCTTTGTGGTCTCCTGACGTGGTCACCACCAGGGAGGCATCTCTGTGGACAGAAGACACAGCTGGGAGGGACTGGAAGACCTCAGGCCCACCCCAGGCCCACCACCCAGGGGCCCTCTGGGGGCCTCCTGCAGCTAGCTCATCCTCAACTCCAGACCCCTAGTGCCTGGCGCTGGGCGGACCCACACCCAGTGAACACGCCTGAAGCCAGCAACCAGCAAGGGGATCAGAGGGGAGCCGCCCGCATGGGGGAAGGGGTCCCAGCCCCTGCGCCCGGGGGATGAGATGTGAGGCCGCACTGTCAACGGAAGACGACTCCCGCAGGCCTGCCAGCTCTCCTGCCTCACAGGCAGGCTCAGGCCTTGGGGCCCAGCTCAGGCATCGCCCCCTACACCCTAAGGACCCTGTGACCCCCCGTGGGCTATTCCCACCTTCCAAACACACAGAGACCCCAGCCCTTGCCCAATTCACTTACTTGCTGAGAGCAAAGTCCAGGATCTCGGCCGTGTGGCCCCGGTAATCAGTAAGCAGGCGGCCGGTCCGAGCGTCCCAGAGGCGCACGATGCCATCCAGGCTGCAAGTGTAAACCACGGCGGTGCCTGCCTCCCACAGCAGCTGCACGATGCCCGACTGCAGCAGGGTACGGCAGAAGCGGCGTGCAGTCAGGGGCGGGAGAGCTGACAGGCATCTGCTCCCAACTCTCAAGGAAGGAGGGAGGGACTATGGGCCATAGGGGAGGACCAGGCAGGAGCCAGGTCTGGGGCAGACGCTCCCAGAGACCTGGGATTCCCATGGCCGTGGCCATGGCTCCAGGCTGCCTGTACCTGGTGCTGACACTGGTGCCTGAGGGTCTGCGTAGACAGGTCATAGATGGCCAAGGTCCCATCCAGGTAGCCAACAGCTGCCAGAGGCATCCTGGGCAGAAGAGAGTATCACGACAGCTCGTGGAGGGACCTGGACTCGGGGCCCTTTGGTCCTCCCTGGTCCCCCAGCCCAGGCGCCCTCCCCCAAGCCCCTGCTCTTGTGTCAGGCTGAGGCCCCGCTGACACTCACACACTGCAAAAGCCCAAGGACTCCACGGAGTTGGACTCGCTCTCCTCCCCCTCTCCCAGATTGGGCTGGGAGGCCACGGTCTCGGGTCTGAAAACGCCCACCACCTATGAGTCAGGGGAGAGGATCAGAAAAGAGCCTGGAAACACGGTCCTCTATTAAGAGAAGAAAGGCAGTGGGGCAAGGAGGCTGGGTGAAGAATAAGAGAGGAAGGGGAGGAGGCGCGGAAAGCGGAGGCCCCAGAGCCAGACCCCAGGTCCCACTCACCTTGCCGGTGGTGGCACTGACCAGCTTGGCCTGGCAGTCCACAGAGCCAGTTAGGATCAGGCTGCCGTCCTGGTTGGTGGCAACACAGGTCAGAGGGCCTTGGTGACCCTCGGTCCCTAGCATGAAGTAGAGGAATAAGTCGGATTTCGTCCTGTCCCAGGTCTCAGCCCCTGCCCCGCAGGCCTAGGTTAACACTCTCCCCACCCCAGGTACCTTTTAGTACGTGGATAGAGTTTCCCTGCTTCAGGTCCCAAACCCGGATGGTGCCATCTTCATAGCCGACCACAGCTCGCTTCCCTAAAGGGCCAGAGATGGAGGTGAAGAGAGAAGAACAGATAGCACACTCAGCCATACGAGCAGGGGAGGGAGGGGATGCGGGCAAGGAAGTGAGGGAACACACAGTGCCCCAGGGAAGACCCAGTTCCGGGTGGAAAGGGGGAGCTGTCTGCTCTGGGGCCTGGGAGGTCAGTGCTCCTGAGAGCAGGCCTCAGAGTTTGCTGGCGGTGGCCCAGGAGGGAGCCAGGGAGACGCGTAACCCTGGTCCCCACCTCTCTGCACTCAGGAAAGCTGCTCTCACCATCAGGGAGGACTCGGCCACAGGTGGCTGGGCAGTTGGGGCCCTGGAAGGTCTTGCAGTCACCATTCGGGACCTTCCACATCCAGGTGTTGCCGTCAGCCGTGCCCGCCAGTAGGACAGGTGCCCGAGAGTGCCACTCCATCCACTGGGCAGAGACAAAGGCTCAAGAGGGAGGCCCCTCACCCCATCTCACCTAGGAGTCTGCCCCATGAGCTCTGCCAAGTTTTCCCCGCTTCTGAGTCAGCAGGGACATCCCAGGGAATGGGCCTAGACATTCTTGCTGTACTCTGGGAGTGTACTGGCTCAGAGCTGGCTTGGTCTGCTCAAGGTGGCACGGACCCCCAGGGTCTCACCCCTCCCCCGGCCCTCAGAGTTGAATCCCACTCTGATGATCTCACCTCCAGATCTCCTGCTTCAAAAGACCAGACCTCCTCCTTGGTGTCCACCTGCCACACTTTTAAGAGGCCACTCATGTCCCCTGTGGCCACTAGGGTAGAGTCGTGGCTGAAACCAGCACAAGTCACAGAGTCTTTATGGCCTGCAAAGAAGAGTGGGCAGAAGAGAAGAGAACGTCAGGGTACCTGGTGCTGGGGACACAGGACCCAGGTATCTGGCCCCCAGAAAGGACCAGCGGGCAAAAAAAAAGGATGGGTCCCAGCAGAACAGGTAACCAAACCCAGAGCTGCTCCAGGAGCCAACATCCCCATGTCTCCCCAGGGGAGACACTGCTGGCCCCCCACTCAACCATGTATAGCCCAGGCCTATGTCTTCCCCATTCTGTCCGCTCCACATCTCTGCCTGAAATACTCACAGCCTCCTTCCTGCCCCAATTCTCCTTCACTAGTGTCACCTCCTCCCAGGCCTTTCCCTGACTCCCTCAGCCAATCAGTGCCTCCCTCCCCTATGCCCACAACAGACCATGATATTCTTTGGGGCCCTCAGGCCAAGTATAGAGCTGGCAAAACGGGAGTCCATAAATGGCTACTGGATGCACAACCGCTGCAGGCCAGCCCCTAAGACCTCCAAAGGGGCAGGACCTCACCCAGGCCCGCTCACCTGCACACTCAAAGAGCAGTTCCCCATCGCTGAGCCTCCACACAAAGGCTTTGTCATCTTCGCCCCCTGTCACTGCCAAGGTGTTGGTCTTGGGGTCCAGGCTCACACAAAACACAGATGCTGTCCCAAGAGATACTCCATGAGTAAGGAGACAGGGCTCCCACCTAGGATTCTGTCCTTCGGGACCTTTGGGAAGCCCACCCCCTTCCACCTAAAGTAACACGTCTTTCCTCCTGGAAAAGAAGGGTGCATCCAAGTTCTTCTAAGTTTCAAGCATCAGGTTGTTGGAGAAATCCCTCCCCAAGCTTGCCGAACTCTAAGTCCTTCTCCAGGACAGATCCCCCTTCGGTGCTGTTCCCTTCACCACCCCACACTGATGCCATGGACAAGAGAAAGGTACATGTGCAACGCTTACAATTCTCAGCATGGGATGCCACCAGTCTGGGGTCTGAGTGAGGAAAGCGTCATGTTACTGGTTCCTTGTTAAGAGCTAATATTTAAGAGGATTACCTAAAACATGCGCCAAAATGTACTATTACCTGTAATTCACAATAAAGGAATTTTACCAGCGACAGCTTTTTAAAAGGAAACTAAAACCCAGCAACATTAATAAAGATCATAAACAGACGAGTAGCTGGGATAGGACTTGAACCCAAGTGTCTCAACTGACTCCAGGAGCCAAGCTCTCCTCTGTTCCATCATACTGCCCCCCTACCTGCGAGCTCCTCCAGGGCAAGGCCAGCATTTTCCCACCGCTGTGTCCCTCATAATGCTCCCGACACAGCGGATGGCTGATGCTCAAATGCCCACCTGGACTGAGTTTACGATGGATCTCCTCAGAGACCTACCCGAGTGCAATGCAAAGGTGACTTCGCTATCGTCTGGGCCCTCCATGCTGCCGACCACCCCTTCCTGGGGTTCCAGAACCCAGCCCTCCTCATTGCCCTCTTCCTCTTCCTCTTCCTCAAAGTCCACATCTTCCATCTCCTGGGCCAGATCGTCTGCTTTGGGGAGAGGGTTAAAAGATGGGGTTCGGCAGGCGGTAAGAGGGATGGGAAGTGCGGGGAGGCTGGGGTGGTCGTGTGGCAAGAAGGCAAGGTGAGGTCAGACAGAAGGGGTGAAGCGGCAGGGGGAGGGGGCGTATGGGACGGAGGACAGGAGAGGTCTGAGGACCTGGGGTTGGCCAGGGACCGTGTGAGAAGGGAGGAGCGAGGGAATGATGGGAAGGGGGGGTGTGTGAGGGGAAGGGCCAGGGGAGGCGTCAGAGGAACCCCCACCCCGGCCAGGCCTGAGAACTAAGTGTGGGGTTGGGGGAGAGGGGAAGGGCGAAGGAGGTCGGTAGGAATGACCGGTGGGGTGGCGGGTGGTGGGGTGGGGGTGGGGTGGGGAGAGGGAGAAGCAGGGGTCAAAGGCCAGTGGTGAGCGCCTCCTGTCCCGTGGCCCGAGGATCGGCAGCTCTCACCCGGGTCCGGCGGACCGGGATCCAGTTCTACCACCTCGATAATCTCTTCATCACCATGGAAGCTTAGGGTCTCCAGTGGAGGAGTGTCAGCGGTGGCCCCGCTTTCCGATTCGGACTCCATGCGGCGAAAGCGGCGAACCCACTTCTTTGGGCCCAAACGCCTCCCAGAGTCAGCTCTGCGCGACGACGCGGAACTCGAGCCCCTCCTCCCGGGAGGAAGTAGGCGTAGGCGACTCCCCGGCAGGGAGAGCGACGGCCTCTCGACCAATAGAGAAGGGGGTGGGCTGGCTTAACCACCAATCACAGGGCAGAGTTGGGAGACGGGGCCGGGGCGTGGAGAGGAGAACCCAACTCCGCCCGACCTGACTCCGCCCCCAACAGGAGGGCAACAAGCGAGCGTGCGCGCCTCCGGGGTATCTCCTGGGAATAGTAGTTCTCCCGGGTCTGTTCCGCGGGCTTCTGGGAGATGTAGTTTCTGGTCTGTAGGCTGGACGGGAAGAGTGGGGGAGGCCCCTTACGCAAACTACAATTCCCGGCGGGGAGCGCGGTGAAGGGGGGGGTGGGATCTGAACATGGCGGCGGTGGTAGCTGCTACGGCGCTGAAGGGCCGGGGGGCGAGAAATGCCCGCGTCCTCCGGGGTAAGGAGAGGGACCCCGGGGAGGGCCGGACTGCAGGGGGCACCCTTTTACTCACATCGCGCTCGGCGATAGCAGGAGGTCAGGGCTGTCGATTGCTGCCCGCACCCCTCTGCGGGATCTTAAAGAGTCTGGGAGCTAAAAGATGCTCTCTAGAGGTCACCCCGTCCATCCCTTAGCCTTCCCGTTACACGACACCTATGGGGGTCTTGCAGCGAAAGGGAGCCCCAAGGAAGCCTTTTAGACTCCCGTGCTCCAGGTGTTTCACACTCACCGCAGTGCAGAGGAAAGAGCCCTGGGCTTCTGGAGGCTTGGGTTCTAGCCCCGGATAATTAGCAGTTTGACCTTGGGCGAAGCCGTTCGTCTCTTGGGGCTTCAGTTTCCTCGTCTATAAAATGAGGGGATGGAGTAGACTACCTTTAAGCTCCCTTCCAGCGCTAACATTTTGCAGTTTGAAAACCATTTCTCGGATTTCCTTCATACGTCTCAGTGTGAGCCCCACTGCAGTCCTTCACATCCTGTCGTCTGATGAGATGAAGAACAGCGAAGCTCGCTCTCCTGGCACCAGGGTGATGAGCCCGCAGTGACGTGGAAGTGGCTTTCAAAGGTGCCACCTCGATGGCGATTTTCCCATTTCCCTCTGGACTTTCCCTGGTACTTGTTACTCCAAACTGCAGTCACTCCCCTTCCTCAGATCTCAGCCATTCCTTCCCCGGGCTTTCTTCTCACCTTCTCTTAACCTACCTTCCTTGCCTCTATCCACAGGGATTCTCTCAGGAGCCACAGCTAACAAGGCTTCCCAGAACAGGACCCGGGCACTGCAAAGCCACAGCTCCCCGGAGTGCAAGGAGGAGCCTGAGCCCCTATCCCCTGAACTGGAATACATTCCCAGAAAGAGGGGCAAGAACCCAATGAAAGCTGTGGGACTAGCCTGGTGAGTTTTAACTAACCCTTTGCCCACCAGTGGGGAGTGGCATCAGGGGAGGGTGGGACCCAGAAACGTCTCCAAGTTTCAGGTGGTGAGCTGAATCCAAGGTTTGCGGAGACCGGATTGCTGGGTGTGAGGACTGGAATCTCAGAGGACTGGGGCAGGGGAGGGAGTTGGGAACGTACGTGAAATTGGAGAGATAGTGGGTTTTCTGTGGAGTGAGCTGAGCTAATCTGATTCATATTTGGGTCCCTGGCCTCATCCTCTCTTTTGGGAGCTTGGAGCAAGACCCAACTGAGATTTTAATTGAGATTTAATTGAGATCACGAGAGATTATATTAGTTGTATAGTAGTAGCACCTACAAGGTGTTCAGTACATTGTTATTTGAATCTAACTCTGATCTTAATACGTATTGTTGATCAATATTAAAAGAAAAAGAAAGGAAAAATTAACATTTTTTCCAGCACCTAAGGTGTGCCAGTACTTTATCGTGCAATGTTTTAGTCTTTCTGAGATAAATAGGACATCCGCATTTTACAGAGGAGGGAACTGAGGCTCAGAGCTGGATTCTCACCAGGTCTTGTGATTCCATGACCTTTCCCCACACTGAAGTGCCTCTCACACAGCAGTTACTCAGATTAAGAAGGCGAGTCTGGGAGGGGGTATGGGGTGTTTTAGGCAGAGGGAATCTTTGCCAAGACTTGGAGAGTGAAAGAGGATGGGCTGTCTGGAAAATCTTGCACAATTGCTACAGCAGGAGATGGCAGGGCTCATGCTGAGGAGTGTCAGGCTAAGGGGGAAAGGAATGACGAGGCGGGCAGAGACCCAACCACACTCGCCCTTTTGTGCCGTGCCTAGGAGTTTGAACTTGGCCAGGAAGTGATAGAGAACTATTACGGGGTTTTGAGCAGGGCAGCGACAGGATCTGATTCGAGTGGGGCCCTCCAGCAGCCAGCACAGAGGCTGAATAGATACGAGTGGTACTGAGGCTGGAATGAGATTCTCCCCAGCTCCTCTGGCTCAGGCTTGGCCCCTCCCCAAACCCCGTGCACATCTCCCCACCCCTAGGGCCATCGGCTTCCCCTGTGGTATCCTCCTCTTCATCCTCACCAAGCGGGAAGTGGACAAGGACCGTTTGAAGCAGATGAAGGCTCGGCAGAACATGCGGGCATCCAACACGGGCGAGTATGAGAGCCAGAGGTTCAGGGCCTCCTCCCATCATGCCCCGACTCCTGAAGCTGGGTCCGGGGTGCAGTGATGAGGAACACTGCCACCCTCCCCTAGACTGTGGCCTCCAGACTGTCAAGTCCTTTCTGGTCTTTGCCCCTGAGGCCCACCAGAGGGCGCATGAAGCCCAGGCTGCTGCCAGCCCCATCCCTCCCGAGAAACCAGCCAAAGGCAAATAAAGTTACTGAGTGTTTGAGTGGAAAGGAACCAGGACTGGGTTTGTGAGTCCCTTGGGATGGGAGGGGCAGAGTGTGGGGTTGGTTACTCATGTGTGCTCCCTCTCACAGAAGCCTCAGTGTTCCAGGCTGAATGGTTGGGGAAACCACAGACTTAAGTACAAGCCTAGGCTCAGGCCCTGGGGATCAAGCCCTCAGAGCTGCTGGCCAGGAGGGTGGGGTTCCATTCAGCCTAAACAAATAATAAAGAGAATCAAAGAAGGCGTTCAGGGTGTGGAGTTTAAAAAAGCACTTAATCCTCTTGGCTGAGTCCAAATGACTCAACCTCTCTGGGCCTCAGTTTCCTTGTTCGTTAAGAGGGATTGAACTAGTGATTTCTAAGGCAGGAGTTCTAAACCTGAACATTGTGGTCCATCCCCACCCCCACGCCCCATATGTGAAATCGTGTGTACACGTACAGTTTTGAGGGGAAGAGAATTCATAGCTCTCGTGCACTTTTGTAAAGGGTCCGTGATGCAGAAAAGGTCATGTGCAATGGCTCTGAGCAGCCCCTACCAGACCTGGGGTTGCGGGTTGAGCCATCCATCACCAAGAAGCGCTGGGACAAAGTATACTTGGTTACCATAGAAAAGGTAAACGATACCAAGCCAGAACGCAAAGCTAGGATGTGGATGCATTGGGCAGAGCCAGACAAAGTCTCCCAGAGCTGACGACACCTTAAAGTGAAGAAAACCAGAGCCAAACAGGGTTTTACCTTCTAAACGTTAAACTTTATTACATTTCTGGTTATGTCCTTTTGTGGGATATATTTAGGACCAAATACTTAATAGAGAAGCCCTAATTATACCCTTGGGCTGATTGGGTCTCCACCCCAGCCCAGAGAGTGACCCTTGTTCCCCTTCCCCATTCCAGCTTGAGGCACTTGGTGTCATGAGAAAGCGGTAGTTGGCTGGAGAGACGGGGCCCAAGTCTTAAAATCCCCCAAGCGTGAGTTGACAAACTAAGAAGGGCATCTACTTCCTCTTGGGGCCCTCCCCGAGTTAGCAGAAGGGAAGAACGATGGGTACCACACGGCCAGGAAGTGGTGATCCTACACACCATCCCATCTCCTGACCTTTGTCCCTCACTTTCTGCGGTGAGCAGCCTGAGCACAGGAGGCAAGAGGTCCCTCTGACTAGAGATCTCAGAAGCACCAGGGAGGCCCCAGGCAGCTTTGGAGAATGGGAACGGGTGGCCGCAGAGGGGCCTGCACTACCACCACAAGCCATGAGGAAGCCCCGGAGAGACGCTGCTCTGTATTGGCCTCTGCGCTTGGCTTTGCTCGCTCTCCTCTTCCTCCCCACCCGAAACCCAGAAGGTCAGTATATATGTGCTGTCGAAAGAAGAGGCTGAAGCAGGGGAGACCCACGGGCACAAACCCCCTCTACGCTCCTGAGTCGGAAGGCGCCAGGGGCTGCCGAAGAAGCACAGGGTGATGCCTCTGAGTCCAGGAGGCGCGGGGCAACGCTCTCGGGCTTTGTTGGGGGCTGAGACAGGAAACAGCTCCAGCTATCAAGTCCAGAAGCCCGAGGCAGAAGTGGGAGAGGAAACCCCGTCACCAGAAAGTCCCTCCTACCTCTCATATTCCATTGTAGCTATCAAATAGGCTCTTTTCAGCCCTCCCCACTCCAACCCCAACTGTTAAGGATTTGGTGCCCCATAGTGGGCGGAGGGAGAATGCACATCTTTGGCCCAGTTCCTGCCAAGTCCACTAAGGGCAAGAGTGAGTTAGTCCCTAGTTCCTCCAACCCCACCAAGTACCTACACATCCACAGCCAGAGAGGCTACCCATCCCCGGACAGAAAGGAAAATGGGCATATTACTTGAGGGGAAGGAAAGGGGTCTAGGCCCAGACCCAGGTCACAGGGCCCAGCCCTCTAGGGAAAGGAAAGTCCAAGGTAGGGCGGAATGGGAGGTGCTCCTTAATCGCGATTCCCCAGGAGCTGCAGCACAAAGGTGAAGATGTAGACAATGTCTGTGTAGATCTGCAGGGCGCCGGTGATGTAGTCCTCTGGGCTGATGGTGTACCTCCGGTTCCCCAGGACCAGCTGCGTGTCGTAAGCCAGGAACTGCAGGACAGGAAGCCACACATGAGGAGGGCTCAGTGGTCAGCAGATCTGTCCTGGGAGCCTCTGGGCCAATAGATATGCTTAGGGAACACATTAATGAACAGCAGAACACGTGGTCTCTGCCATTAAGCAGTTCACAGTCCAGAAGGGGAGACAGACACACCGTCTCCATAATACGGCCCACTGACAGTTCTCATAGCAGGCGGTGTGAACAAGAGATGACGGGAATGCCCAGAAAATCAGTGGAACCTCTGGACAGTAGGGAAAGGGAAGGGCGGCTGTAGCCCCACTCCCTGCCTCCCAAGCAGCCTACATTCACCATCCTCACAGTTCCCTCTGTCCCCTCAGCTCCCCTTCCTAGAGGGGGTGGGGTCTTACTCACCAAAGTGAAGCAAATGGCCCCCAAAGCAGCATAGACCATGTGCAGCCAGTAAACCTGGGGAGAAGGGACAGGGATGGCATTAGAAATCTTAGCATAGCTTGGACTGAGGCAGGCCCTCAGGGCCATCTTCCCCCCGGATGTCTGGCCAAGTGCGAAGATCCAGGAAGCTAGCTACGTGAGAGAACGACTACTACCTTCCAGATCCTGGAAGAAATTAAGAATAGTAACATATATGGTAGAAAAAACAGAGGCCATCGTCCAATGGCCATAAAAAACCGATCACAGCATCCTTTAGCCTAGCCAGTCTCCAAAGTTAGTCAAGGTACAGAGGTGTCCACTACGTTTCTGGAAGAAAGAAAATGGTTGAGTTCTAGCTCTGGGAGGGGCAGACCCAGGCATGCACTGCTTGAAGAGCCCCATCTCCTTTACCCTAGTCATGGTCAGCCTTCAATAGACCGTGTTCCTGCAGCCCAGCCTGGGAGGGACAGACTAAAGGAGAGAGCTGGGAGGGAAGCCCCCCAGCCACCCTGATAAACAGTGGAGTTAGGGAGCACCCCCAGGGCAGCCCTGCTCAACAGCCCTCCAGGGGCCTGTCCACAGAAGGGCAGGGCCAGCCATGGTCAAGTGGGCAGGCGGCCCTCCCATTCACGTGCTTCCCTTTTCAGCACTGTTCTCCCCTCCCCGCCACGAAGCTCCCCTCAGCCTAGGGGCCTCACACGGTGCCCCTCCCGCTGACTGGAATAAAAGAGTTAAATACAGTGATCTCTAAGGTCCCTTCCACCCAAGCCCATCTTCTCGGTCCTCTGGGTTCCTCTGGCAACCTGCCTCCAAGAACCTGGTCTCAGCTGTCAGAGAGATCTAACCACTGCTTCCCATAGGAATCCCATGATGCTATCCAGGGCCTCAGGTGCTATGGCTCCCAGGACCTGCCATTTCCTAAGATACCCCAATCCAGAGGATGGCGCTTCAGCGTGGGTGCCTTTGCTAGCCAGTCGAGAGGTTCTAGAAGCCAGAGGCCTGTGGGGCCTGCTACACCACAATATACAGAAAGTCTGCCCTGGGCACTGGGTTCAGTGACGCCGGCTCTCCCGGGACACTCACATATTTGAAGGACAGCACGATGGCAGTGACAATGCCGGTCACCATCATCACAATCCCCAGGACACAGAAGAGGCCTGTGCACGAGGTGAAGTCCACCTGCCAGGAAGAGAGGGGGAGGCACGTGTCAGACGGGCCACCTGGCCCAGCCAGCCAGGCCCTCCCTCTTCCTCCAGGGAGTCCCTGTGCTGCCTCCTGGGGGCCATGGGAGTGACCGTGACATTCTAAGGACAGACATAGGAAGCAGTTTTGTGGGTGTAGTTGTGAAGGGAAGGGGATTAAGGTCTCTGAGGGAAATGCCCGGCATAGGGGTGTGGGCCCTTCCAGGCCTGCTCATGTGCCAAGCCCGGAAGGCCAGGTCTGTATAAAACAGGGGGCCGGGGTGGCCAGGGAAGGGCCCTCCGGTGCCCTCACCTTGGTCTGGAAGCAGAAGATGGTGACTGAAATGGACACCACAGCAGTGATGATCATTGCAATGATGACGGCTTTGGTGTCATACACACTGCAGGGAAGGAGTTGAGAGAGGCCAGGGGCATGTGCCACACACGAATGACTCCAAAACCACTACTTCTGGAAGCATCGTGCCCAGAATCCACCCATACAGGTGGCTGCCAGCCCAGAGATGCCCCGCGCTCCCCTATGAAACACACCACCGTGTAGTAACCGTCCTTGAACATACCTGGAAATGGTGCCGGTCATGTAGCCCATGGCAAGAGTCTGAGGGAAGGACAGAGACCAGAGTGAGACACTTAAGAAGAGAGCCGGAGCCCTGGAGGCACGGCCAGGAGTGTTTGCCAGAGCTGGCAACACGTGTGACTGAGTAGGAAAGCCCGGGGAGACCAAGGGCAGGGGTCAGGGTAAGGTCGGGGAGAGAGCTAGGGACATCTTCCACCACAGCGTGCCATCCCTTCCCTGGGACCAGCCCTCCCTCACCATCTCCACACCCTGGACCTTTTAGACTCACAAAGAGGGTCAGCAGGATAAGGTTCCATGGGAAACGGCGTCTGAAGGGAAAGAAACCATAGTTAAGTGGTGTGGGGCCGGCCAGGTCTCAGAGGCTCCGTTAGCAGAAGGAAACCCTTGGCTTATGTGCCTGGAGAATTAGGCCTGGACTTGGGGGAGGCGAGGCTGGCATGGCTCTTGATACCTGCTCAGGTGTCTATGCAGGGACAAGAGGGACAATAGGACAGACCTGGGCTGTGGAGCCACAAAGACCTGGATTCGTTTGCAGCTCTCTGACTACCTGTGTGACTGTGAGAAAGTTCCTCAGCCTCTCTGAGCCTTGGGTTCTTCCTACTTGTTAAACAGTTTAAGTGCTACACATCTTGCAGGGTAGCTGTAAGAATAACACCTAGATAGCTAAATAGATCCCACACATGCCAGGCACTCTGCACACAGCCGAACGATAGCCACCATCACCATCGTCATCACTGCCGGTACGTCTCCACTTAGCTGCTCTAAGAAATCCCCTTTCTGTGCAAAACAGCCCCACACCCCCATCCCTTCCCACTGTCTAAGTCTCTGGGACTCACCTGGGTCCCTCGCAGCAGGCAAGGATCAGGTACGTGACCAGGAACACAGCACTGGGGGGAAGAGACGGGGAAGGAGCCTCTCCAGACACACTGCCCCTCGGCCCCCTCCCGGCCCAGCCTGGCGGCACTCACCACACCGGCAGGCTGGAGGTCGAGAGAGCTATCTAGAAGTGTGAGGGGAAGCTACCCAGCAGGACAAGATCACCCCAGCCAGGGGCACTGAGGACATCTGTAACAGGGGCTTTGGCCAGGGAGGAGGCTGCAGGAGCCACCGCAGAGAGGCTGCCAGAACACGGGGCCTGTTCTGCAGGATGCACGTTGCCACCAGTCCCCCACCCCTGGCTCTCAGGGGTTCCGTGACACTTACACTCGGTGGCACACACCCACACTTCCCAGCACAGCTGGGAGGGCCCCTCTCCAAAAGGATCTGATCCCTGCCCCGAAAAGCTGGTCAACTGTCACCCCTCCTCTCCTTGCCCCCGTGCAGAGAGAAGCACAGACTCACTAGGATGCGTAGTAGACGGCCAGGTTTGCCCTCACGAACTCGCTGACGGGCTTCCTGTGGAGCAGGGGGGACAAGAGAGGAGTCACACCGCGGCTTGTCTGCCTCCCTGCCGAGGCCCTGCCCCCTCTTCTCTAATCGCCCACATCCCAGCTCCTCTTCCGGTCCCTCTGAGCCGAGGGCCCACCCCAAGCCACACTCCCAGCAGGTGACCCAGAGCCCAGGACCCCAGAGCTACCTCCCAGCGGTGCGGAGAGGCCTAGACACTCACACAAAGGTGAAGATAGCGATGATGGCCACCGTGATGAGCAGCTGGATGGAGATGATGGTGTAAACCTGGAACACAGGCAGTGGTGGGGAGCACGGTCACCACCCTGCACTCCCGGACTCTCCCCAGGAAGCAGCTGGGCCCTGAGACCAAGGAGCCCCAAAGACCTTACCACCCTAGCCCTGGCCCCTCTTTCAGAGCTAGGGAGGAGTCTCCTGCCTCATTCTGAAGGATCTACTCTTACTCCCCTTCCACTTGGGAGCCTGCCCCAGCTGCAGCTTGGCAGAGAGGCCGCCCCCAGTAAGGGCTCAGATACTGTACACGGCCCCACAGGGCTGACCCCCACCCCCCACTGCCCCCTGTCCTCTCCCCCTCCCTGCCCAGCACCTGGCCTCCACTGGCCCTCACTGCCCTGCCTCTGCCCCCTGCCTC